TTTCATTCTCTGATCAAAGATGATACCTAGGTATTTGGCTTTTGGGGACAGAGTGACTGGAATTTAATTTACGATAAGTGGGGTGGACATGGTGCTATTGGTATGCTTCTTGTGGAAGCAGTGGATTGATTGAGATGAGATGAGCGGAGAACCACGCAACTTCCTCTAACAACACCAAACAAATAATCAAAAAGAACTGTAGGATCGTGGTGGCTTAGATGGTTAAAGCGTAGCACCAGCAATGCGACTGGGGCTAAAAGTTGCGCACTACACGTTAGGCATGACAATTCTCGTTCTATTGTTGAGGAACACAGTCGATTTGCTCTCGTTGTAAACACACATATTTTTTGTTCACATACTGTGTGTGTACTTACAATATTTTTTGCCTGCAGCACATTCAATAGCGAATGTGCCTACATTTCCAGCGGTTTTTCGTACCTAATCCATACGTCGGGTAAGTGCAAGGTAGCATAGATACCTAGATTTCTCCGGGGCCAAAATCCAGCCACCACATATTTTTTTAAGAAAATCTAAAAAATGTTCCCCAAGATAAAAGTAAAGGTACCTAAGCTCATCAGGGTACCCAAGCACTCAGCGAAAGTCAGGGCACGACCGAGCTGAAAGTAAGGGGACGTGGACATAATACGCAAACATCAAGCGTTCAAAGAAAAGTAAGGGGACGCCCGAAAGCCAGGGCAAGTAAAATTTTCTGTACCAACCAAAAGTGAGGTCACGTGCCTTCAAGAAAAGTGAGGGTTCGTCCCTCGATAAAAGTGAGGGTACGTCTTGAAGAAGGAAACGTACGGGAAAAAGTCAGGGCACTCAAAATAAGTGGACGTCCTAAATAAGTGAGGGCACGCCCCTAGTGAGAGGACGTCCATGGAAAAAGTAAGGGGAACTCTCAAGATACGACTCGAAATATCCCACATTTACCGCACGTAAGGGGACCCTCAAACCTAGGGCAAGAGAGATCCCATAACTTGCACAGACACAGAGATACTAAAAGTGAGGGGACCTCTCAAAGCATGAGACATCCCATAATTTGTGGTACAAATACAACTTGCATAAAAGTAAGGCGACGTTTCCCAAATGTGAGGGAACGTCTCACAGACAGAGAGCAGCAAGTAAATAAGTGAGGGATCCCGAACTAAGATAAGTTGGGGTACCACCCATGCCCAATATGCACAACGAGGAGTCATTGTATGCCGACACAGATAATGAAAGTGCCACGGCAAGAAGGAGCATACCAAAAATAAACGCAAGATTAGAAACACTGGACGGAGCATGTGATGATTGCGCCTCCCTCAGGTTCTTAGAAACCAGATCCGAAAAGGAAGTCAGATCCTCCCTTGGCGCAATAATAAGTTACATAAGAACAACCCACATATTTGTAGCTCCACACCAAGTCAAGCGTAAACCATGGGATAGATCTGACAGGAAACACAAAAAGGGCCTTGACAGTGCAATATCACTCCCCTCCTCGACTCCGACTCCACGCCCAACGAACCCTCAGACAAGCACGAGCTCTTCGTCCCCCGCATACATCGAGGAAACTGGATTTGGAAGTCTCTTTAATGTACCTACAAACAACCGTTTTCAACCATTGGAGGTTGAGGAACCAGCCCCTGAGTCGGATATCACGCCACTCGATAAATCACAAGAGAAAATTAGGGCTAAAGTGATAGCAGCCCTAAACAAACCTACAACCACAACGGGCAATAAAGCCGCATGGCTCGGCATCTAACTAACGACGGAGCTGAGTTCCATACTTATACCGTACCGGCGAAGAAAACTCACGGCTTCGTAATGCGACATATGAAAAGCAACTACCAATGAGATTAAATAGTAGCTCATCGACCGATACGGTCTAAAGGTCAAAGAAGTCTCCCAAATGAAGAACACGGAGCAGGACAACCCATTGTACTTGGTTGTCACGAATGCCGAAAGTACGCTAGCTATGGGGGCACACAATGACAGGTTGCCACTGTCAAAAGCGATGTTCAAAATGCGCTGAAGGGCACATGACGCTGCGCTAATTGTTAAGGTGCACACCGGGCAATGTCCGCCAACTGCCCGGTATATAAGTTCAGAACCGTAGATGGGCACAAATCCTAGATAACCACCGTCCTCAAGATAATTCTGTATAGCGCCTTACGTCAAGGATGAGGCGGCAGCCTGTGCGCACCCCTGCTCTTACTAGTAATGGCAAAGATTGCGTCACTGCCCCAGACAAGGCGGAAGCTTTGGCTTCTTTCCTGGAAAGCGTTCCGGACTCCCACCCAATTCCCCTGAACAGGAAGAAATCGAGCGTACAGCAACAGCCTTTGCTATTAGGAAATACCCCATCCCCCAGCACTTGCTCGCTGAACTTCTTGTCACGCCCGGCGAGATGACTCGAATTATACAGGCTCCCAAGCGAAAAGGCCCCCAGACTAGATAGCATCCCATATCGAGCCCTCAAAAATCTTCCGCGTAAAGTTATTTTCCAACTGATACAAATAACTAGCGCCATCCTAAAACTACAGCATTTTCCTTATTAGTGGAAAAAGTCTGTAGTGGTTATGATCTTCAAACCTGGAAAAAACCTTACTCTCTCATCCTCTTACCGCCCAATCTGCCTTATAAACTGCTTTGCCAAGCTCGTAGAGAAGTTTATCCTGACCAGGGTCAACAGGATCGTCGAGAACTTCTCCATACTCCCAAACGAGCAGTTCGGGTTCCGCCCCCGTCACACCACTCTTCTTGCAGCCAAAATCTGCTGTGACGTCTTCCAAGCGTTCAACAGGCGCATGAACACGACTTTTCTGCTCCTAGATATGGAGCGCGCCTTCGATAGGGTCTGGCACTCAGTCCTTATCTACAAGCTTTCAATTTCCTATTACACATTATCTCCCTGATACAGTAATTTGTCAGCGGTCGCACTTTCTGCGTCAAACAAGATGACGCCTTCTCAAATTCCAAACCAATTCGGGCCGGAGTGCCCCAGGGGTCGGCACTCAGTCCGTTGCTGTACTCTCTGTACACGGCGGACATTCCAAAATACAATTCTGGCGCTGTACGCAGATGACACTGCTGTTTACGCTCAATCCTTCTACACACAAGCAACCAAATTTCAATTCGCCCACCACCTTTCGATCCTTCAACTCTATTACGATAAGTGGAAGCTTGGTGTTAATGGTCAAAAAACGGAAATTATATGTTTTCACAAGAAACATACCAATAGCACCATGCCCACCCCACTTATCGTAAACAACATCCCAGTGACTCTATCCCTGAAAGCAAGATACCTCGGCATCATCTTCGGTCAGAGAATGAAATTCCATTATATATCCTACGCTTTGGCTCGCACCTTCACTACGCAGCAAAAACATCGGTCCCAACTCAGGCTCAGTAGACCTGCCCCCCCCCAGTTGATAATTTTTATCTAAAACGCTAGCCCTCGTTCTCCAGAGCTAGCGCAACCCAGCGCAACTTTTTCGAAAGCTAGCGCAGCTACAGGTCAAAAGATATGTGGCTTTATATTCGGGGGGGGGCTAGGGTGACGCTAGCCCCCCCCCCCAGTTATTCGATCTGCGCACATTCGTAACACCTAGCGCAGCCTAGCGCAAGTTGTGTCATAGCTAGCGCAGCTATCGTAGCTGTCATACAGTGTGGACAAAAAAAATCATGAGCCCCTACAAGTGATTTTTAATTTTTCAAAAATATATATGAAGCTTCCTTAAAGCTAGCGCAGGTAAAATTCGAGCAACCGCATTACCCCTTTAAAACATATACAGGTATTTATTCGGGGGGGGGGGGGCTAGATCAACGCTAGCCCCACCCAGTTGTTAAATCCTTTTCAAAAGGCTAGCGCAACTTCGTGACACCTAGCGCAGCCTAGCGCAAGTTGTGTCATAGCTAGCGCAGCTATCGTAGCTGTCATACAGGGTGGACAAGAAAAATCATGAGCCCCTTGTCACTTGTAGGGGCTCATGATTTTTTTTGTCCACGTCTGGTTTACGTAGATTTGTTTTTCATTTTATTTTCAGAATATTTGTCGTTTAAAAGGTAATTAAAATTCTCATCGTTCAATCTTACTGAGCGAACCTGGGTATGTTATACTACAACCGATCTATTTTAAACTTCCCTGAATTCTGGTAAATCCTATCAATCCTCATTCTCTGACATCCCTCACAAACTCCCCCACCTGTATCAGAGCCATTACCCGTGATCTTTCAGATAGCGGGAAAGATTAATATGCAGGGCGGTCAACCCCAATAACCAACCCAGCGCTCACGCGCACTTACCCCAAGCTCACTTTTACATTTGAGACCCGTCCATTGGACCACACTGCCCGACAAGGCACAACATTTTTCTTTAAGTTCAAAAATCAACGAAAAGTGGGATTTTTTAAATACCTTTTTCCCCACAGAGCATCTACCCACCATCTTTGAGTAAGCCAGTATAATGGCCCAATGCTTATCATCCGTGGTAGATACCAGCGAACCCAGGGTCATATAAATGACGCGTTAGGACAACCGGGTAACGTCGTAAAAGTTATAAGCAAGAATGGGACTAGGGGCTTGATAGGTCAGAATATCGACCGTCAACTTGCCAAAACACCACACTGCGCGCTAGGCGCGCAGTGGTGCACAGTGTGTTAGTTTGGGTTAGTCAGTTTTAGCTGTCACTTTCAATTGCGCACACTGAGTGTTAGTTTGTGTCCTAGTTTTAAGTAAATGATTGTTATTTGTAGTTAGAGGGGAGACTAGCCCCCCGGCCTGTAAGTGTACAATATGTTGAATTTATTTAAATAAATATGTTTGAGTTTGAGTTGAGCAATGCTGAAGACGCAGGTTCGAATCCCACCCAAGACCAAAATTTTTAATCCTTCAATTTTCCTCAAGTTTCTTTCCATTTTCAGTTTCCACGCTTTTCGGTTGTTGTAACCGACAAAATTTCATTTCCCTTCTTGTTATGTATCTAGATCATTCTGTAGTAAAATCTCAATTTTTTTTCAGGCCACATGTAACAACCAATTTAACGGACACAGAACAGATGCGAAAAGAATCGAAAAACTCGCAGCCCCCGTCGATCGGATAATTTTCCGTGGACGCGACATGAAAAACTGGAAACATCTATGTGAGAAGCTCAACGTTGACCGACCTTAAAAATGATGTGCCTCGTGGCATTAAAATACACGTTCTTGTTTTTAAGTTTGGTTTTCACTTTAGGCCGTAGCTTACCGGCCAAGAGTACGAAGCAAGAAAAAGTACAAGGTAAGCAATATTTCTTATTTAATCATTGCCTGTAATGTGAAAATCTTGTTATACATTAAGCTTGGTGTTATCAAAGTATGGCCATATATCAAAGTTTTTGACGGGAAATTGCTTCAGGTTATGCCCGTTCCAGCGCACACAAGATTTGTAGGTGTTTCGATAAAGCCGAGCTCTAATTTCTTTTTTGGCTTGGTTTATTTTCGATTCAATCGAAATACTTCCGATGTCAATTTTGACCTTGTTTTAGTTTGGTTTATGTATCCAGATAAAGATTGCGACGCCAAGCTTAGTGCCTAAGTTTTCAACGAAGTTTCATAAGGCTTCCAATCAAAAAGTTTCGAAATCGTATAATAAACTTACTACTGGGAATAGTTTTAAGTTTATTGCCAACTACATTAAAAAGTTGTCTTAATGGAGAGAAATTTTAATGAGGTCAGGAATAGAGATTGTTTTTCACATACATACATAGTAGAAGCAGTTATGATTCAATCTGATCGCAACAAGTAACATATCAATATTATATACTCTACGATACAAAAGAGAAGTCAACAAAAAATATCCAATAAACAAATTACCATTTAATATTAAGTCAACTTCTGTATTATATTATATTCATGACCCAAATTGATTTTTAAATAGAGCAGGAGCGAAATTATTTATTCAAAAACCCAGTATGTATGAATAACACAAAATATTTGGCTTTCATTATTTTAATTGCATGTAATTTTCCCCCTGTGATTCGATATATAACTACATATTAATTATGTATGTGGGTTTATGGTGAAAGGGGGATAGTATCTTTGCCGAGAGTGGAACACGATTTTAGCTGAGATAATATTTAGATCGGTTTAATTAAATAAATTACCGTAAATTCGACTGATAAAATGATGTAATATAATATGCCTTTTATATACATTTAGATAAAATGTAGTCACAAACATCATCAGTATGGATTTGAGTGTTAATTTAAATAGAGATTTAGTTAATTTAATCACAAAAACGTTTGTATGAAATGCAAAGTCCAAGTTCACATTCAAAACACTACATATACATTATTATATTTAGTGAAATATAAATGCGGCCCGTAAAGTACTCGACTCAAATGCAGCTTAGCGCAAATAACTTACACAGACTATTTAAAACTTCGCAAACCAGGCTGAGGGCATTTATCATTCAAAAGTTTGCGCGCATTTATGGTTTTCATGTAAAAAGATTAAACCCCGAAAACGGAGTCCTCGAGAACAACTCAAAACTATGTGCAAACTAAACCGTATCGTGTAGAATTTATTTGAGATTGGTTTTTACGTATCACTTCCTACAATTTAAACTGATGTTTTCAAAACAAATCTATAGTAATTTGTGTATAAAACTATGAAAAACTTGCTCTATATATTTTATTTTCTCCTGAGTTAACAAGTCAGAAATCAAGGGTTGGTTTTTAAAATGTTAATGACCCCATTAACAATCCGAAAACTTATACTAGCGAAAAGCTCGTTATAATTATAATTAATTTCAACTGACTGACTATCCTAGGAAAATACATATATTTTCAATAAGCTGGAAAGCAGAATAAGCAATTTAAATGAGGATATAACTCCTCCATTCTTAGCTCCAACTTCCACACTAGCGGGGGAGTTGAATACTCTGGTTTTCCTCTAGAGCGGGAGTGGACCTCTTCTTCATGACGGGTTTAACATATTTCATGTAAACCAAGAAGGTTTCTTCAATTATTTTTCATTGATAATTTTATTTAGAGAAATTATGTTATTTCTGCTTTCAGCAAATAAATGTATTTCTGACTTTCTCTAACTTTTGATTCTGAAATACTTTTAACTTGATGACATAATTAATTAGTGGTTTTGCGTTTCTAACATAACCCTTATTTAAATCATTTCAATTTGTAAACAATTAAAATAATTCTGGTGTGTTTTTATCTATTCCCATTTAATCAGCGTGATGTTTCACTGATGAAGTGAACCTGGTATTTTGTGTGTGTTTGAGTGATGTCTTCTGATTGGTTCAATAGCTTCTACACAGTTAAGTATAAAAAACACAAGACTAGTTTCCTACAGGGATTTTGGTTAAAATGCCTCTTTTCTGGCAGATAGCTGAACAGGCAAGTCGATTGTCACTTTGTAAATTGTTTCCTTTCAGATTTCTAGATTTTCCCTTAATATTTTTTGTTTTATTTCACCATCAGTGTCTACTATCACTGTTGCGTTTTTATTACCTGATATCCTATCTTATCTGCCTTTAAAATATAAATATAATATTTTAATTTTTTATCTATTGTGAGCCTCCATTTTGTGTGGTGCCTCGTTTTTTTGAGGAGAGTCAATTCAGAGTTTTGGCAAATAAATAGGTATTGCTGGTTTGGTTTTCGGAATTAATTGTTAGTGTGGTATTTATTAATGGACCATTTGCTCTAAACAGAATCGGTGTAAACCAAATTTGTGTGTCCATCCCTATTACCACTTTGCCGAATCCAGGCAGAGGCCTATTTAGCCATTTATTGTTTGACTCCCTCATTATCTTCTCGAGGAAGGATAGTGCTGAAAGGGTGAAGTTTTAAGAGAGGAATCAAGATAGGTTGGAAATTCATTTAAAAAGTTAATAATTAATCAAAACATCTCAAGAATTTTGACAATTCCTGGATTCAATTTATTTCACCCTCAGCTTTATCTTGTAGTACCAATAGGTACCTTAACTTAAAATTTATCTCTTTGGGGAAAATCTAGATGCTTATTTAATTTTTTTATCTTATTCAATTTTTCCTAAATATTTCTTTATTTTTGTCTGTTCAGCGCCGCTGCCTAAGAAGCAGCATCCTGCTCAATGTTAACGAACATCTATTTTTGATCCTGCTGTACTTACTTACCTACTTGATTATTGCTTCTTTATTTTACATACTTTTTTGTTTTGATAATTAGTTAATGGTTTTTATATAAAAATATTTTTTCCAATTTGCAATAGTTGCTCATACCTGATTCTGTTGGAAAGAAGTGTCTGCACAATAATAGTTTTATATTCAACTAATTTCATATTAATTTGTCTCTGCAAGGTACTCTCTAAAAAGTAACTTGTTACTTACAGTATTACTTACAGTGTTACTTATACTGTTATCTCATATTTACATAAACTGAATAAAATTATTGTTTGTTGGAATTTGAGTGGTTTCATTCGTTATATGCTAGGATTGCATGCTGATAGGTGTCTTAAGGAAGCCACGATTATTTAGAATTCTTACGTGTTCAGATCAGGTGGAGTGTAATCTCTCAATAACACCTTTCGACTGGGGATGCTTTCCATCGTCCATCGTCTTTTGGAAAGTCGCGCGAGCGTTCTTCAGCCCAAATGGCGTACGCAAAAACTCGTAATAGCCACTTTTTCTATTAAATGCGGTTTTCTCTATGTCGTTCTTGCTCATTTGTATCCGAAGAAATCCGCGGACGAAGTCCAATGTAGTACAATATTGACATTTTTCTAATTTGTCTAATAGGTCGGTTATATTCGGTAGGGGGTATCTGTCTGTTATTATTGGACCATTTGCTCTAAACAAATTTGTGTTTCCATCCCTAAAACCACTTTACCGAATCCAGGCAGAGGCCTGTATAGCCATTTATTGTTTGACTCCCTCATTATCTTCTCAAGGAAGGAGAGTGCTGAAAGGGTGAAGTTTTGAGAGAGGAATCCAGATATGTTAAAAATTCATTTGAAAAATTTTAATCAAAACATCTCAAGAATTTTGACAATTCCTGGATTCAATTTATTTCACCCTCAGCTTTATCTTGTAGTACCAATAGGTACCTTAACTTAAAATTTATCTATTTGGGGAAAATCTAGGGGTTTATTTAATTTTTTTATCTTTTTCAATTTTTTCTCAATTTTTCTTTATTTTTGTCTGTTCAGCGCCGCTGCCTGAGAAGCAGCATTCTGCTCAATGTTAACCAGCATCTATTTTTAATCTTGCTGTACTTACTTACCTACTTAATTATTGCTTCTTTATTTAACATATATTTTTTTTTATTAATTATTTTAATTATTTAATATTTTTTTCTATAAAAATCTTTTTTCCAGTTTGCAATAGTTGCTCATACCTGATTCTGTTGGAAAGGAGTGTCTGCATAACAATAATTTTACATTCAACTCTAAAAAGTAACTTGTTACTTACAGTGCTACTTATATTGTTATTTCATATTTACATATATTAAATAAAATTATTGTTTGTTGGAATTTGAGTGGTTTCATTTGCACATAAAAGGACTACACGTTTTATAATTTATTTTTGAATTCCACGACTCTATAGGTTCTCTTGCTCTAAACTACAAATTATCTTTAATTTGCAACACTTTCCTATAATTTTTTCTTTTTGATTTATAAGTGTTTCATTGATGGTTGAATATGAGAGTTTAGATTTATTCTTATGTTCTGTGACATATTCTGTCAATAGCCCAAATGATCCATTTGACCTAATGTGTCCTGAAATAACATCTATCGGTTTGAATTTAGTCACCGAACGAATGGTGTGATTATATGCTAGGATTGCATATTTTATTTTTTGGCTGATAGATGTCTTTAGGAAGCCTCGATTATTTAGAATGTTTACGTGTTCAGATAAGGTGGAGTGTAATCTCTCAATAACACCGTTTGACTAGGGATGCTGGGGATGCTCTGTGACCACTGTATTTTTAAATTCAGTTCCGTGATGTGAAAAGAACGATATTAAATTATCGCTAATTTCAGTGGCTGATAATGAAAAAGGGTTTTCCAATAGTAACGCTCGATGTTTGGAAACAGCGCATGACGAATTCGACAGTCACACAAGTGCTATCTTTGGCAGCAATATTCAGTTAGTTTCTGCATTTTATCATGGAGCGTTACACGACTGAGCAACGCGTCGAAATTTTTAAAAATCAATATCAAAACGAATGTTCTATTCGGCAAACGTTTCGTTATGGTGTCAATGATCATCCTTCAGAATCCACAATTCGCCGTTTAAT